AGAAGCAAATCAATCGATTGAAATTGAAAAAGAATGAGAAAAACATAGCTGCAGGCAGAAAAATGTCTATTCCTTCCACAAATAAAATAGGGCTTTGATTTGTGGCGAAAAACTGGAAAGGGGGTGTTATTTCCTCCTCCTGGTAATTATTGTAACAGTGTGTCCTTCACTCTACTATATACTGTGTATTACTACATGAATGGCATGAATACTTAATAGTCTTTCAAGGACACATTATTTGGCTGGTACATTTACAAATGATTTACAGTTGTGTAGACTATATACAAGTTTTACAACCAACCAGGTTCATATAAATGTGAGTGCTTTCTTACACTAACCCTATTTTACCCAAGGTTGATATTTTCTATAGAAATGTATACTGTATTTTTTCTATTAGAAACGCATCTCCAATAAAAGCAAACATAAGACAAAATTTGTAGTTATTGTATGCTAGATTAAAATATTACTTATTGACCTTCACTTCTGTTATAATATGTAAACATATGCGCTTTTAATAGAGCATTTTATATTTACCTCCTAATATGGTCTCTTTTTTTTTTTTGTATGGTAATTAGCGTTCAGTTTTAATTTTCTTGCAAATTGCATTGACATTATTTCTATCAAATGAGGGCGCTGTGTAAAATCTAATCCTTACATTTTGTTATTGGTTCATTCGCCAGTGCGACTAAACTCAGTTGAACGCTGTAAATACTGAATGGCTCACGATTGATGAATCACCTCGCATCATGAATTTCCACCTCGCTTCCAACATGAGCAATTATGTTGGAAATTAATTGAAAAATTTGTAAAAATCAGAAACAAGGTGGGATAACAGCGGTGTGCAAATGCAATTTTACTTTGAGTAGATAGCATCAATCAGTATTGGGGAGTGGCACTGACATGTTGTGAAATATCCATAATTCCAAGGACATTGCCATGGTAACCCAACTGAACTATTAGTTGAATGAGGAGACATGCACCTGGAAGATGTAGATTAGTCAGTTGTATAGTATCATGATGATTACAGTGTCTAGTGTCAGTTGCAATTATTCATGTATACACTAATTTACTTGTGCTCATCAAAGTTTCTACAAAATAATTATCAAATTAGTAATATGAATACAATCTACTCATTGACAGAAATTTAATGTCATTGTACTTGAATGAATGAAATGACTTTTGATAGTTCATCCTCTATGTTCCTATTCAGATTTTAGCTTTCTACTCAGTGTGAATTTGAGAAATCAGGACGCTGTTCTTTGATGACAAACTAATATTCAATTAATCTAGCCTTGTAAAAAAATGCTTTGTGGTTAACGTGTATTTATAATTTCCCCTCCAAAGAGCCAGTTGAACCATTGACGTCCCAAAAATTAACAATAGAATGCACGTTTTCAACCTGTTCTTCAATACAACCAAACAACAGGAAGTCTCAGTTGTTAAAGATTGGGTGCGGAATATTTGAAGAGTGTCTATCACAATGTTTTGCAGTTGTTGGTTGTTCCACCCCATTTCTATGTTTGTCTGGCCTTGGTTATTTTGGACTGCTTCCAGTATGACATTATTGTGTGAACAACAACAACAGAACCTGCCAGTGAATATAACAGATCATTTGCTATACCAAATATGGAATACATAAAGGGTGCATATAAATTCATGACAGTTGTTATCAGTTGTGAAATAGGTCAGTCTGTTGGTTGTTTATTCCTGCAGCTATGCCGCTTTCATATAACTTTGTGCTATTACAACCACATATTGGGTCACAAAAAATCCAGTGTGCATTTGGTGAATTTCAAGTCAAACCAAAACATGTTGTGTATCTATTTTAATAGTGCCAATATGATACAGTTGTACAGTCGTAACAAAACAAAAGAATTAAAAAAAATAATGTTATATAGATAACAAATTATAGCATTTTATAGAATGTGAGGTACTTTAAGGATAAATTTGAATACATCTAGTGGAAAGATGGTTGGACATCTAATGGAAGAAATACTGTATTTATGAGCCTGCTTTGTTAGAACACTGGCAAGAACTTTGTATAGGGTGAAATATCAATTTAGAAATGACAGCAAAGTACTCAGGTTTAGATAGCAGCTGGCATGCAATTTTGAGTTGAAAAAACAATGTCATATAAAACAAAGCCAAGTGGATTGGTTCAGGTTAATGAATCTTACATGTACGTTTTAATTTCCTACTGTTGATGGGTGTTATAATTGTTTCTGCTAAAAATAAACTTTCAAAGGTGAGCGCACTTCTCAATGCATGCACATACTACCTTTTGTTCATAAATACAACAATGAGCCCTTATCCTTTTTTTTTTTATTGCTGGTACTGTTTGTTTTACCACGGAAGCGGAAGACAATCACATACTGTGGAATACTTTATTTTCGCTGGAATTAATTTTTGCTGAAAAGGCTTTTTGTATGGAATTTATTTTCACTGATTTTTGATGAGTTTAATGTGAAATATAGGAAAGAAAGTATATTCGCTGGATTTTATTTTCACGGAATCATTCCTTCAGCGAAAATAAATTCCAAGCGAAAGTATTCTACAGTAGTACAGCTTACACTTCCTCTGGTGTCCATGAGTCTAAAAAAAGCCAAAGTTTATCATTTATTGCATGTTTTCAGGAACTGTGATCTTATACATGTATTTATAAATTCAGCATATATAAAACAAAGTTTGGAGTTGAGATTTAGACTATCAACCCCACCTCCCTCCCAACAACACACACCTGTAATTTTATATAGAAAGCAAATAATGCATAGTTGTATTACACTAACATCTAAGTGTATTACTAAGGTCTTACTAGGTGATGGTACTTAAGAACGCATTTAAATATCAATAGTTTGAAATTCCTATTATCTCCCTTTAATAATTGATAGTTGATAATTGTTGGCAATTATTTTAATTGAATGATTGGTTCATTTACTCTTCACTCAATTAATTGAGT